CAGTAAAGATCCCAGCACCAGTCACAGTATCAACTGTTGCTGCTATCCTTCCAGTTCCAACTCCACCACCGACAAAAGCTATGCCAGCCCTCAGGATTTCTACTCCAGAGCAGTCTCAGGCATCTGTTCAGCCTCTGAAAGCAAAACCTAAGCAGAAACAGTCCTCCTCTAAGGACTCTGCTAAAGTTACAGGCTCCTCCAAGCAGTCTAAACCAAAGTCTTCTGAGCTCCTTGTCATGGCTAAGAAGCTCCTCCAACAAGCAGTCAGTAGTGGTTTGTCTTCACCAGCATCTTCCACAGGCTCAGTCAACCCATATGCCCATATGGATCCAAATGACCAAGACCCATATGCTGACTGTGATGACCTCACCCCTGACCTGGCCTCCTCGTGATTCTTTTCCTTATGCGTGATAGCTTCACTCACTACTTTCTTCACCCTACAAGAAAGAAAAGTTGTATATTACGTATAATGTCAAGATATCAACTGTTATTTCAGTCCTTTCCCCTAGTAAAGCACATATATATATATATGAGAGAAAAAAAATTTAATATTAGTAAAACTCTTAACTTATATATGAATATAGATAGATATAAGAGAGAAAGAATTTTAATGTTCGTCAAACTCCTACGATTTAGGAGTTTTTAATTTTTAGTTTTATTTTACTTCTAAAGGGAAAGGATAGTATGATAAAATTGACAAAAAATAGACTTCATAATAAATAAGTTTTTTTGACGGACTTAAGTCCAAACAAGTCCATATAGGGGACCGACTTCCAAATTTCCCTAAAAAAAATTGCCTTTACAACTGGAATAGGCTTTGCGGCAAAAGCCCAAAGGTCTGCATCAGACTGAGCTCGGTTGATTTAGCCCATCAGTGAACAATCCGTGATGTATGTGGATTGGATTGCATCGATTGGGTCGATGAACAAGCCAACCCAATTGGGCCTATCCTTATGGGCCTATAGCAAGTTATAATGGACTTTTCAGTTAACTATTTACATTAGTTTGGTATCTACCTCTATTATACTATAAAACCATGTGAATTGAAATTAAGAATAATGTTAGATTGTCAGCGTGATATTTTTATCCTATTTTCTTGTTAGATTAATAATAAATTAGAATTACAATTGAGATGGTAAATAGTGAATCGTCAAATACATGAGACAACACGAGCATATCAAAATAGGACAGGAACCACGCTAAAAAAGACTTACATATAAGACAAACTCGACTCGATACAAACCCTGAATATACACAATTATAATTAGATCAGATATTAATTAAGCAAGTTTTACACTATATAGGACTTAAATTCAAGATAGAGGTTTGTTATGTGTTTCCTTGAGACTATGACCAGGCTGCCCTTGAGATCACAGCCCAGATTTTAGCCCCAATGGCGATCCAGCCTTTGCCAAAATTTCAATGCCTCATGGTGTGGTGGGCCTTACCAGACCACAGTCAAGCCCGGTCTTCCATATAGTGACCCACGAGTAGCCCAACAGCCTATCATTCAGGACCGTGGTCTTTGGCCCGATTAAATGCCGTGAAAACGGCCTGTCACCTGGGATCTCATCCTCATCTATTGGCCCAATGAAATTCAATTAGAATTTAGGGGTCTGTTTGGTTTAGGTCTCAAAAAATAGTATCTGTAAATAGTTTTTTAGAAGAATTTTAAAGAAGTGTGTTTTGATGTTTTTTGACACGAAGAACTTGTTTAGTTATATAACTCCAAAAACAATTTTACAGAGTAAAAAATAATAAAACTTGTTTAGACAATAATGCAAAAAACAATAAAAATAAAAATGTTGTTTAGATCGACTGTTTGATAAGTCGATATCTTTCCTTTGATATATATCACATATTAACACCATTTGATAAACCAAAGTGTCACTGGTTGACAAGGTAGCCTCAATTTTTTTTCCATGTCTTTGTTTGGCAACCAGCAGGATCCTAGCAAACGGAGAAGACAACAATAGGAAGTGTCAAATACAACAGTGCGAAAAAAAGTATTACTCAAGAGAAAAAAAGTTTCTCTCTCTCTCACACACACACACACACCCCCATACCCACACCACACACAATGGGAAGGAGAAAGAATGGAAAAGTAGGGAGAGTCTTCTGATTGTTCCAAATCCAAAGGACGAATATCTCATGTACTCGATCAGAGGATTAACGCCACCTAAAATCGACCCACAAGCCCGTAACAAATGACACAAACCCTAACTCAAAAAGGCTACGAATAAAAAAAAAAAAGAGTAATATATGATTACCATACTTGAAATCAACAATGGAAGGGTCGTTGAATGTGGTTATCACTGTCATTGAAACATTATCACAGCATCGGTGTGAAGAGACCTCTTCCCAGTTCTCTCCAGTGTNAAAGGCTACGAATAAAAAAAAAAAAGAGTAATATATGATTACCATACTTGAAATCAACAATGGAAGGGTCGTTGAATGTGGTTATCACTGTCATTGAAACATTATCACAGCATCGGTGTGAAGAGACCTCTTCCCAGTTCTCTCCGGTGTCTCGACCTCTTGTTCATGATAGATGAAAAAAGTAAATAAAATGCCTTTGCTATGGCACGTTTAAGTGAACAATAAATGAAGCTCCGTGTTTTCATTGTTGTTGAAACCATTTGAGNGTCTCGACCTCTTGTTCATGATAGATGAAAAAAGTAAATAAAATGCCTTTGCTATGGTACGTTTAAGTGAACAATAAATGAAGCTCCGTGTTTTCATTGTTGTTGAAACCATTTTAGGGGAAAACACGAAAAGCGTCATTTAGTTGTTTGTAAAAAATGGCTGTTTTAGAGAGAGTGTTTTCTAAAACTTGAAAATGGAAATAACTAACCAAACATATTTTTTGTAGGTTTTGTTGTTCTACAAAACAAAAAACTGTTTTTGAATTACAAACCAAACATGCCCCGGGTTTTTTTAGTGCAAGTATATTTTTTAAGACTTATTATTTGAGAGGAAGTGTATGGATAAGTATTTTACTCTATTAAATTTAATTTTAATAAATCATCTTGTGATTGGGTATAAAATTCAAATGACATTTAAATTTTTTTACTTACTTATCATTCCTTAAATTATGCATAATTTTTATTCTTTGACTCTCTCTCTCATCTTTTCTCTCCATCTCTCTCCTATTTTTTTTCTCTATCTCTCATTGATAATTTATTTTCTTTTCAAATATTTAAAANGGAAGTGTATAGATAAGTATTTTACTCTATTAAATTTAATTTTAATAAATCATCTTGTGATTGGGTATAAAATTCAAATGACATTTAAATTTTTTTACTTACTTATCATTCCTTAAATTATGCATAATTTTTATTCTTTGACTCTCTCTCTCATCTTTTCTCTCCATCTCTCTCCTATTTTTTTTTCTCTATCTCTCATTAATAATTTATTTTCTTTTCAAATATTTAAAGATTGATTTAATTTAATTTTTTCATCTCTCATGTATTTTCTCTCTCTTTCTATATATATATATATATATATATATATCAATATTATAACAACACAATTACACAAATCATAACTAATCAGTTATAATTGTCTTATAATATAACAAATAATTTCTCATGTGTTTTAATAAATCAAACAGTTACACCAAATAATTGTACAAAATTATGACACTAATCCAATTTGTTATCCAGTTAATTACATAAACCNATATATATATATATATATATATATATCAATATTATAACAACACAATTACACAAATCATAACCAATCAGTTATAATTGTCTTATAATATAACAAATAATTTCTCATGTGTTTTAATAAATCAAACAGTTACACCAAATAATTGTACAAAATTATGACACTAATCCAATTTGTTATCCAGTTAATTACATAAACCAAAGAGTTGCACCATTTAGTATTACGACATGATTACACCAATTATATACACCAAATTTTGTATAATGGTAAACACTTTTGCCTAATATAAACCCATTTTGGTGTATATAATTGGTGTAACCATAGCGTAATATTAAAAGGTATAACTCTTTGATTTATGTAAACAACTGAATGATAAATTGGATTGACGTTGTAATTTCATGTAATTGTTTGGTCTAACTATTTGATTTATTAGAACACATGAGTAACTGTTTGATGTATTACAAGATAATTGTAAATAACTGATTTACTGTAATTATGTTGTGGTAACGTTGATATAAANCATAGCGTAATATTAAAAGGTATAACTCTTTGATTTATGTAAACAACTGAATGATAAATTGGATTGACGTTGTAATTTCATGTAATTGTTTGGTCTAACTATTTGATTTATTAGAACACATGAATAACTGTTTGATGTATTACAAAATAATTGTAAATAACTGATTTACTGTAATTATGTTGTGGTAACATTGATATAAAGAGAGAGAATAAGAAAAGATAGAGTAACAGTGAGATAAAATAAGGGGAGGGAGAGTGTGAGAGTGAGAGAATAGGGGAGAGATGAAAAAATTAAATCAAATCTTTACATATTTGAAGAAAAAATAAATTATCAATGTGTGTGTGCGTGAGGGAGAGAGAGAGAGAGAATAGAGTAATAATTGGTCTTTTAGTATTTTTTCAAAAAAATGCATTTATAGCCAAATAAGTTTGTTTAACATACTTTATCTCAATTAAATTCAAATTTTTGTACCGACTTCCAAATTTCTAAAATTAAGAAAAATTAGCAATATGAAAATTTAGAAAAATAGGAAAAGGAAGCCGTTATAACCGAGCCAAAGTTAGCCCTCCAAGTCCAAAGTCCCATTAGGATGGGCCGCAAACTGTATTTCATGGGCCTGGTTCAGCCTGTTGTTGCCAGCGAACTCATGTAGATTGCAATTTCAAAACTTACAAGCTAACAAGAAGCATGCAGAGCAACTAACCTAAACAAGTAGTCAAGTGGTGTGCAGTTAGACTGATGTATGAAAATTTTAAGGATTGCATATTTCACATTGTTGTTGAATCCCAACAATAGATGTCCTTCCCTTTCCATTAACTAGTTCTAGACTTCTAGTTGGATGTATAGAGCTTAATTCGAGACAGAATAGACTAGATTGATGACATTTTGATTGATATGTCATTATTAATATGTGATACGTGAACCAACCAAAAACAAGTTTAGATAAAATACCTAATTATCTTACTCTTAGTCCAACGTCTTATGTGACGTGAGATTGTTATAGATTACATTCTTCTCTTTTATTTAATTTTTTATTTTATACTACTTTTATTATTTAATATAAGGTTAAAAACATTATTTAATCTGGATTATCTGAAAGTTCACTGCACATCGTTCTTGTTTATATGTCAGTTCTGTAAAGTAACCCTGCCAATATTGATTGTCATTGACGGAGAAAAAAATCGATGATTTACAATTGGCGAATTTCTTGAAAATTTTCTCTTTTTCTCTCTTTCTCTCTCTATGATTTGTACAAGTTTGTATGTATGTGCACACATGTTCGATTTGTCTATATGGATCATATATTTTGGAGGGTTCTACAAATGACCACCCCTGTGTGTGATTACCAAGAAGTGGGATTGGAAGGAGAAGATGAAAAGAGCAATGAGAATAGGAAGAGAAAAGAGAAAACCCCATAACATTGGCGGTTGAGTGTGATTGGAGGAGACAAATAAGGGTAATTAACAGGGGAAAAGAGCATGAGAAGTATACATATTTCATAAATGAATAGACATCAATCCTCTTCTCCATTTGTTAATGGTAATCATAATAGATGTAGAATATGAGGGTAGAAAACACAAAAATAGGTCGTCGCTTGCCTCACACAAAAACACCCCTAAACGGAGTTTTAGTTATGGTCAATGAAGTTTTAGATAATAATTCAGATAGTGTGGTTGAATCAATAACATGTTCTCGGTTGAGAATCTTTACTCTTCTCTTTCGCATTTTTGCTGCCTATGCTATTATTCGTCCCCGTCCATTACGCGCAAAGCTAATTAACACTACCTGTAATGATTGAAATAATGGGGCCAAGCAGACCCCTAAGAAAGCTTTTTTCAATAAAGCAAACGATTCGATCAGTTTTAGTCATCGCCAACATTTTTCTAAAAATTAATCATAAATCTGAAGCAATGATTAAGAAGTACACAGAGACGAGTAGTGAAAGGAAAAGGTTCAAAATGGAAACTACATGACAAATATCGACACCAAAGTACCTCATTTCAGATAGAGTATAGAGGTTAACCATTAGACTTCAAACCTTCTAGGCTTGTAGCCTTCAAAATCCTCTCCCAACATTAATGACAGACTCCAAGTAACCCCAAGTTGTTAATTAAGAGTCATGTTCAAAGACGGCATAAGAGAAACCCCTAATCACAGACACTAAGGATTTGCAAAGAAACCCTAACAGGTTTAAATTCTCAGTAGGGGGAGACACCCATATTGGCAGGAGAGAGAAACCCATCTTTCATGAGGACTTCATCTCCTTCCTACATTAACCAAAGCAAAGTTTAATTACATTGTTGTCTGTAAAACAGTAAAGCTTGAATTGAAATGCATTGATATTGAAAGAAGGGTTAGTTTAGGGTTCAGAGAGTACCTGTTGGCACACATTAGCTTTTTTCACGGGTTGCTCAGGCATAAGTCCGAAGTGAATGTGGGGGAAGTGGGCCCACTGAAAGAAAGACAGAAAGCAAATGAAGCCCACAACACAAACAAACAAGCACTGTTAGAATGAGCAATGCAAACCCTAGGTTTTTTGGGTGAGAAAAATGAAAGAACTTCTTTATCACTATGGTACCGGAAAAATAATTCAAATCCTTATCGTTTATCTTGATTTTACTTAGTTATATTTATCAATCATTAAAATAATAAAATAATTTGGCATTTCATTTTGTGATTGGATATAAAATAGAGAAACTACCTAAAAGCAAATTTTTAGTATCCAAGTCTAACCCACGGTAAACAGTATAATACTACATCAAAAATTATAATTTTTTTGATATCTTAGTTATAATTTTAAATAGTATGATCGATTATGACAGGTTGAATTCGATACCAAGAGTTCATAATCAATTATAGATGTTTATTTTCAATCATAAATTTTTTTTATACAATTATAACTTTTCTTTTCAAAGTTATAACTTTACCGGTAGAATAGAGTTTCCTAACCCATATACGGAAGAGATAAGTAGATAGCTTTATTTTCTTGGATCTTACATTCTTTGCTGCTGCACTGAAGGCCTCCCTGTGACTTATATCAGGATTTACTGCTTTGATACGTTGGATCTCCTCCCTGAATTAATTAATACAGAAAAGAAATGTGCCCAATAAAATGAACTAAATCGAGAAAGAAATGACTTGTTACCCCCCTCTCTCTCTCTCACACACACAC